GCGACTGAGGCGAGGCTGTGGGGTGGCGACTTGCGACTGAAGCGAGGCTGTGGGGTCGTAAAGCGGAGACTTAAAGGAGGATGAAGTGGAGGCACTGAGGCGCGGCGGCGGTGAGCGGGATGGAGGAGGAAGGGTGGGAATGAGAAGTGAACTGTGAACAAGACTGTATCCCTATTCTATTTTACTTATATTATATTGTATATGAATTATATTATATAATATGCCCTTATGTATTAATTGAAAACGTGTTGGTCGTAAGTAAGTGGCTTCGTGATCTTATGCGGCAAAATTGTATATATGAAAAAATTATATGCTTGTTTAGGTATATTTTAATTTACTTTCAATCTAATAATTAATTAGGTTCAGATTATCTATAAATATTTTAATTATTTATGATCATGTTATATGTATTAATTGTATTGTACTATCATTCTTTATAACTATTGAATTGTAAATGTATTGTAAAAGTTATTAACTTTTGAAATTTTTTATCAGTTTTACATATATAATATATCAAATCAACCATCTCTTGATGAACTTCGATTTAACATTCATATTGTATGTATAAAAAATATAAATTATATTATCTTTATAAATTATTTTTTAATATTAATCAAAAAAATGTAACTTTATCAATTATGATGGGTCTTCTCCTAGATCTGGAGTAAATCGGTGGTTATGAGCTACAATTTGTTTGAACCGCCTCCAAATTGATGCTAGACCGCTGCAAACACCTGCAAGAACTCAACGCCGGAAGTGTTTCTGGCGTAGAGCCTCCGACGCTTAAGTCAGTATGAGAGATATGAAGTGATATGAAGTGAGCTCTGCTCAGTTGGAGCAGCAGCAGTAAGAAATGGATAGAGAGAGTGAAAGTTAGGGTTTCAGGTTACCTCAATCCCTTTATATAAAAAGAAATACTTACTTGAGATACTCAAAATGTCCCGACCGACTTACATGAAATGTACAAAATACCCTGATCAGTTCGCATTCCATTTATCTCTTAGTAAGCGCCATATTTCTTCTTTTCTCATACAGATTCACCTTTATTTGGGTAACTTGTCAAGAGATATTACAAGTGTCTCGAGTCGTCATAACGTTTTGGGTCTCAAGGCGCCAAGAGTCGACCTCGAGCATCAGTAAGTCGACTTAAGACATATGTGGGGGTGCATTCGGAGAATGCGCTACGCCCGCTCGTCTTCTTAAATGAAGTCGACTCCAGAAGTCGACTTACAGAGATCGTGCGCAAGTCGCCAGCTTGCAGAAAGGAGGTCCTTCCTTAGGTAATCTGCGAGAGGAGTTGTCTTTAAGGAAGTCAACTTAAGAATGTCGCCATGTAAATTTGCCATCCGATTGAGCAATTAGTACTTGGAACCGGTATATGATAATATGGCTATATCAAATTAAAATATTTATGTTTCAGTTATACGATATAAGTTAAAAAAATTTCTATAATAAAATGTGTGAGTTCGGTTAAAAAAAAAATATAATCAGATACTACAACTAGTTTACAACGAAGATAATATTTGAAAGAAAATTGATACTTTTGTACCATAGAACTTTTAGTATTGAGACAAACTCGTATTTTCTAAATTAGAGGAAATCAATTATTTTACTCATAATTATTGATAAGGTAATAGACTGAAAAAAATGTTGTGTATCACAAAGTGGATTTTAGAATTTGAGTTTTATATCTTAAAAGCTATAATAATAATAATTATTATTATTATATTGTTATTATCATATATAATTTTTGTTGTTGTGTCAGTGGAGTTTTAGCGGAACCAATAATCACTTGCCACATCATTTTAGTTTGGTAGGCCTTTACCACATCTAAAGGTCTCTATTAATTTTACAAGATCTAATGGATGAGATTAAATTAACGGAATGGTGCCTGCACGGCACCGTAGCCAGCCCCTAAAAAAAATATATATATATATATATATATATAAATTTGCTTATTTAATTTTACCCAAGAAAAAAAAAAAATAGTAAAACTTTCATGTTTCATCACTTTCATGTTAAAAAACCTTCCATCATTTTTGTTTTTCACCATAGTCCCTTCTAGAATACAGAGTTGAGAGTACAGACAACATATCTCGCTCGCAGTTCCTTGCCGCTTGTCATCCATTTTCCACCCTAATTCAATCGGAACCCTTCTTCGTATTTGCAGATCGATTGAGTGATCCCGCAAATCGTGGAGTCCATTGAATTTCGTATGATCTATTGATCTAAGTTTCAAAGAGGCGGTCAAACGATTTGTTGATTTGATCAGTTGGAATTGAAAATTGTGGAGAATGGAGCAGAGCAGGAGAGCGGTGGAGTCGTACTGGAGGTCGAGGATGATCGACGGTGTGACCTCCGACGAGGATAAGGTTGCTCCGGTTTACAAATTGGACGAAGTTTGCGATTTGCTGAGGTCGTCGCATGTCTCCATCGTCAAAGAAGTGTCCGAATTCATCCTGAAGCGCCTCGACCATAAATCTCCGATCGTTAAACAAAAGGTTCTTTTAGTTTCACTCGATATAGTTTTTTTTTTTTTTTTTTTCGTAATTTTGGTTAACTTATGTGCTTTGGGTCTTTCTCACTCGAATGGATTAGGATACATAATTGAGGATGAATGTTGCCTTATAGTTATCATGATAGTTGTAGACTAGCACAGATTTGCGAATAAAGGACTTGTTTGATAATCACTTGAATTGTTTCATGTGTCTCATTAGTCATGCAGATTCATATCTTTCTTTATAAACCAGTTCGCTGAAAACAAATGTGTCCTTTTGAACTTCCTACAAGATATCGTCCCACACCGAATGCTTGGCGTTGTTTATTGAATCAGACATGCAATTTGTATTGTCCATATAATGAATTTGGTCTTAGATTGGGTTGTTATTATCATACTATGTCACTTATGCCCAATTCTTTGATGTGTAATCTTCTCACTGCATTATCCTATATACTTTTTTTTTTCCTGAAAAACAATGCATTGCTTTTAACATTAAAAGAAGCCTAGCAAATATACTTTTTATTTAGCTGATTGGGCTGTAGCTGCAGAATTGCTTTTAACCCTCTTGGTTTTATTTCCTAAGTTCTGAGTTTATATTTCTGTCAGCCGAACTTCATAAGCAGTGTTCTGGTAATATTTCAAGGTCTGCGTTTTTTGCTTTTTTTTTCTTTTATTTTGTATTTTTATTATATGCATTTGTCCAAGCAGTGAGTAGCTGCAAGTTTTCACATGCTGGGCTTCCTATAGCTTATTTGGCAGTTGGAACATAGATTAAGCTATTATGTTCACCTCCCTAATCTGCCCCATTTGAAGAACTTTTTTTTTTATAAATAAGTGCAAGGTAGCCGGTACTAAAATTGAACATAATCTGTATAAGTTATTTTACTGTTCAGGCGTTAAGAGTCATCAAGTATGCTGTTGGAAAGTCTGGTGCAGAGTTCAAAAGGGAGATGCAAAGGAATTCTGTTGCTGTGCGGCAGCTAATTCACTACAAGGGTCACCCTGATCCTTTGAAAGGTGATGCATTGAACAAGTTTGTGCGTGAGACAGCACAGGAAACCCTTTCTGTCTTATTTTCATCAGAAGACAGCAAAGGTCCACAAACAGAAAGTAGCCTCCGCAGTCGGATTCAAGGATTTGGGAACACAAACTATGAGATGCCATCAGAAGACAGAAAGTCGTTCATCAGTGAGGTGGTTGACATTGGAAGTGCAACAATTAAGCAGGGATTGAACAGTTTAGCACAATCCCCATCCTTGAAGAGAAGTAGTGACAGTGGGAGTTACAGAAGCCCAAATCTTCGGGGGTCTTTGACTGCAGATAGTGATTACTCCAATCGGTATGAAGGCATTAGGTCTACTGCTGAAACTTACAACTCTTCTCGCTTTTCAAACAATGCTGGTTCGAGGAGTTGGGGTCAACATCCAAGTGAATCCGAGTTAGAAACAGGTAACAGGGACTCCGGTTCCACTTATAATCAGAAGAGCCGCGAAGAAAAATTGTTGGAGACCATCGTGACTGCTAGTGGTGTTCGACTGCAGCCTACTCGGGATGCACTCAATGTTTTTCTGGTGGAGGCCTTAAAATTAAATGCTTTATCATTGGGGCATGCTATTGAAGCAAAACTAAGATCCCCTTCATGGCAGGTTTGCGTTTATGTCATTGTTTTAGTTCTTACTCGGAATAATCTTGGCTGGGTAGTTTCTTCCATCATTTTTATGCTTATTTGTTATTTTTTCCTTAAGGTACCATCTTATTGCATTGGTATGAGGAGTTTTTTAACCTACAGTTTCAGAAATGCTACTTCTTCAGGTTCGTATGAAAGCCATGTGCGTTCTTGAGGCAGTTTTGAGAAAGAAAGAGGATGATCATTTTTCAGATATTGTGTCATATTTTAGTGACAACAAAGATGCGGTGGTCTCATGTTCGGAATCTCCTCAGGCATCTTTGCGGGAGAAAGCAACTAAGGTGAATTCTGGTTATTATCTATTGTGTTATGCAGAAGAGAGAAAGGAGGTGGGGCGGTCGGGAGTTTTTAGGAGATGTGTTCATGTGTTGAATTTCTATTATAAATCTTATTTCATGCAGGCAAAATTGAGGTCTGGAACTGAAGTATACATATTTACATTCATAAGATATTGTTTGTTTTTGTGATACGATATGCCACGCATACTCGTAAATTATCTAGGATTCTTTAAACTTAAAATTCACTATGAATCTACAATACTCTCCGAAAAAGCTGTGAGATGGGTCGGGGTTCATGCTACCAGTTACTATCACTTTAGAAAGCACTAACTAGCAGCGGGAATTTTGTTCCCCTTTATTTATTATGTACCTTGAAATCTTAATAAATCAGCCTGATAAGTCTGACAGAGATAATGCATTCCTTGTTCACGAAAATGCATGGATCTGCAATCCGTCTCTAAAATCAGTTCCTGATATGCCTTATCCTGCACCGAGAATGGTTTGTTGGTACCTGTCCCTTAATTATTACATTTGGTACACATGTTAATAGATCAGTCAGATGCTGCCGTGAGGCATTCAACCGCTGCTTTTCTAGATTTGTTTTGAAATATATTCACTCAGGGAATAGAATTAGCTCGATTATTACATCAACTTACCAAATTTATTATAATTTTAGGTGCTAAGTCTTCTGGGTGGGAAACATATTGGTGTGGTCCATCATGAGGCGAAATCGACAAAGATCTCTCAGCCTTCAATAATTCCAGATTTGATAGACACAGGTGAGGATACCTTGGAAGATTTTAGAAAAGCCGAGGTTGAGCCACAAATTACAAATGCAACCTCTACTGCTCCGCTGATCAATGACTTACTTGGTGACGACTTTGGCGGAATTGGTGATAGCACCAACACTCATAAACTTGAGGATGATCCTTTTGCTGACGTGTCCTTTCACGTAAATCAGGCTAAGGACCATACTGCTGATCTATTTTCGGGGTTGCCGGTTGATATATCGAGCAATACAGAAGCCCATTCAGTGGTACATCAAATGGAGTCGGAAAACCCTGCGACATTCGATTTTTCTAGATCGAGGCCTGAGCTTGCCAAGGAGCACAACGACCTTGTAAAGGATGCTACCAACTTGATGGATGGTTTATTGCTTAATGGAAATGATCCATTTTCAAAGCATAATGGGCGAGATTCTGAGAAATATAGCAATAATCCAGGTTCAGTTTCAATTGTCAATCAAGATAATACTAAGTTCAATGATGTCTTGATTAGTGGTAGTGCTTCTCAAGGGATGAATGCAAATCCCATGTTTCCCGTGGGTGCTATGGCATATAATTTGCCACCTGGCGTCATGTTTAATTCAACAGCATTCACATCTCAGCCAATGAACTATTCTGACATGGGAACCCTCTTTGCTCAGCAGCAACAGTTTATTGCTACATTGTCTAACTTCCAGCAAAAAGGGAGTTTGCAATCAAATAAGAGTATGAATGCTGGTGGATCTAGAGGAGGAATGTCATCACCCCTTCCAGATATTTTTAATCCTGTCATAGCTACTGAACCTCCTGTTTCGCTGATGAATGGCTCGAAGAAAGAGGACACTAAAGCATTTGACTTTATCTCTGTAAGTTTGAATTGTTTCCATCTTTTGTATATTAAAGAGTTGCATGCTGTCACCCTTCTCATTCAACCTTCAAGGGTCTTGGCTACTTACAATTAACACTTAAACCTCAAATCCCTGGGGTGTTTTTGGGAAGTCTGATAGGATTGGTAAATGAGGGAAATGACCAGTGATCACAATTAATCAACGCTTTTGCGATTATGAAAAACAGCCCAAGGGAAGAGTGAGGCCCGGATTTCTGTCCCTTATGCATGGGAGAATGAATCAGACCTTTGGAAATAATATTAATAGTCCTCTTTTATCCTATCACGTGAAAAGTCCAACTTGCCCCTAGAATAGACACATAGCTGTTGTTTGCACTAGTGCTATTACAAGAAGCTTAAAGTTGTTTTAGGTTCACTGAGTCTCAAGCATAGGAATATTACAAAATTTGGATATCCATTTCTTATTTGTTTTTGTTTTGATACTTTCAACCTGGTTTACATGCGAAAGAAAAAAATGAATTAGTTGATTGCAGGCAAACACTATGCTCCATGAATGTCAACTTAAATTCAGAACCTAGTTCTATTAGGAGTTGGGTCTCGTTCCACTTTCAGAGGCTGAATTTGTTTTTGTCTATTATTTTAAGCTCGAGTAGTTTGGAAGCTAATTAGAGCTGTGAGGCAAGTGCTACCTCTTAAGCAATCGAGCTTGAGGTTTTTTTGTTGAAGCTATTTTATCAAATTTGTTTTCTGATGAAATTAGAAGTGAACTATAAGAAAAATTGTAAGTAGAGCATCAACCAACCATATATTGAGAATAGCCTTATGATACTGATGTTCACAAGTAAAAATAACAGTACATCTGTACATTATTAGTTTATGTTGTACAGACTAATGTTACTTCTCTACTTATTTTTTACTACATGTGGGAATTATTTTTCTACCCTACTGTGAAAGAGATTAATCTTTGCCCTTAATATTCTTTGGTAGAGAGTTCGACTATATGCCTTTAACTTATGTTCTAAACTTTAAGCATCCTGGGCACAAACCTTCCGATCATCAACTGCATCTGTAAGCTTTATAAGGCTGTCTTCCAAAAGAAATGTTGTACCCTCTCTATGGATCTTAAATGCAAGTTAGGAGTTTAGAACATCTTAAACATAATTGAGTTGCATCATATTGAGAATTGAGCTGCGTGGTAAAATTGTGTTGCTGTTGTAGGATCATGTGGCGTCAGCTCGTGACCGTAAACATGTGGTTTGAAGCTGTTGGAACAATCCCTACAATGATATGAAGCAGCTCACAGAATCTATGAAGCCTGAATCTTGATTTGAAAAATATTGCTCTCTTTGGATGTATAATGTATCTCTGAGGTAAGAGGTTGATAGTGAAACTATGTCTGTTCTTCCATTTATAAATTTCAGTTTTAAGTGTTGGATAATGAAAGGTCAGAAATTCTTGGTTTGTGTGAAAAGCGAACCTGAACTCGGATATGGGATTGGAAATGAAATACGTTCGATTGCGGTGTTCTATTCTTATTGGTGCATTGGTACGTGTATTTTACTATTTGATGACTATCGTTATGGAAATGCTCTGTATCATCTCCTGACTGCCCTTTTTTGTACTTCTACGTTAAAGGATAGCTTGTTTTTCCGTTTAAGAGGTAAATTTCTTGTATTATATACAATTATATTTGTTATTAAATGAAGTAAAGTCCACGAACTACATAAATAATGAGTGACTTGATAAATACCTAATATTATTAAGGTTATGTGATAATGAGTGCCAACTGCAGTAGTAGTGCATAAAGACCTTATTGATTATTGTCCTCAATAAACTGATTCAAACACAACTCTCTGTTTGCCCTTTCGTAATTTTGAGCGACAATACAAGACCATTTAGTTGAGGAATTAGTTGAGGAAGATCATAAAACCGACTCCATCTCGTGATAGTGATCCAAATCTTGTTCGATGCAATATCTATGGTGATTGAATCCATGGATTCAATTAAGATACACTTCCGTTAACTAAATAAGATTGTTGATTATTCGATATGAATGCTCCTGATTAAAACGATAGTTTTCGCGTGATTAATTCCAAATTTCCAACAATTCTAACTTTGAAGGTGGAATGTTCATTTTCGATGCAACAGTTCGTGGCGAATCTAATATCACTTCATTACAAAATATTCTTGGTATCTTCTTCAAGAAAAGAAATGCACAATACAAAGACAAGGGGCTGACTTGAAAATTTTGACAAACTAGACAATGCACTGACTAATTGAAAACCGACATACCCAGTAAGTTTAAACTATCATACTTGGATCTCAGAAGGGGCTCGTGCACATAACTAACAGTGTGAAAATGACAGCCCTGAACTGCAACTTCTGATAGTTCATGTCAACAAACCGATATAATTGATTCAAAATTATTCACCCCGTTCGAATATCATGACGAATCAGTACAACAGACTGAAGCTACAATAAGTAAAAGCTTTGGGAAGCAATTTTCAAAAGCATAACCTCTCTAGAAATGACGTTAATATCCTCACACTCCTATAAAAGCAACAAAAAATTGTGATACTTTTAATTTCTCGATTTCAACCCCTTCACTTCATCTCAGAGTACTGTAAGTAATGAACTCAGTCGAAGTAAACTGAAATGGTTGGTGTGGGATAGGATTCCTGAAATAAAGAAGATAGTCATGATATTAATTTTACAACACGAAAAATTACTTTTTGAAGTGGTAAAATTTTCACTCACTGTCGAGGGCCATAAACTTTGATTTGGCGCACATGAGTGTCCCTTCCATTTAGGTGATTAGACAAGACGGCAATTTGCAACATGAATGCATTCACAAATGTTTCCCTGATACATGTATACAAAAAGTTTGTTTAGAGCACGTTTGTATACAATATAATTCATTTGCATTCAGTTCACACTCAAAATTAACTCAACTTTAACTAAATCTCACTATCCTCAATATATTATCAATATAGTTAAATAATACAAAACAATCATTCTTACACATCATATCAACTTTGATTTACTATTCATCCACTCACATAATTTTAACTATCATCACTTTCACATAATTTCTCTCCTACTTTTACATCAAATCAACATTAATTATTTAATTTTAAATATTATTTTAATATAAAATCAAAATCCCATCAACAACTAACCATCAAACTTTTTCAAAATTAACATAATTAATAGAAAAAACTCATTTGGAGCGGATTTATTTGTAAACAAGCACGCCCTTAGTTTCCTAAGATTAAGGAGACAACATTGCCTCCTTCGGCACAGAAAGAAACACCGAAAAAACAACCTTGTTTACTATAAAAAAAACATCTCTCCACGTAGTTTCATGTAGATAGATCACCCCATGGATTTGTAAATTTAGAACTGAAAATACAAATATTAACTGTTGACATGCGTAACAGAAGCACATCAATATATTTGACAAACACATGCTCTTATATGTTCAGCCAACATAAGTCAAGACTTTAACAACAACAACAACAACAACAACAACATAGCCTTTTAGTCCCAAACAAGTTGGGGTAGGAGTCAAGACTTTAAACGAAAACAAAAAATAAATAATCTGTTGCTAACCTTGGATCAGACCCAGATAACGGTATGTACACCCATCCAGTTGGCTTAACAAGTTCCACTGCTTTTATCTCCTGTACAAATTACAATCAATGGCGTAGCAGGAAAAATCAAGTAATATATAATTCATGCAACCTTTGATAGAGATCATGTTACCATAATTAATAACCAAAATCAATTAGGATGGTAAATGATCCTAGTGTAGAAAATAGTAGATCTGGATTATTCATATGTCCATATAGTATGTACATGCTCAAAAATCCAATCCTTAGTCAAAACCGCAAATACACGTAACATTACATTGCATTATATTGCTATAAAAAACTAGCAAGGAGAAGGAAAAAGCAGCAAATATAGTTCAAATTTAAAGGAAAAAAATTCAAATCTTTGAAAGATGATATCTTACTTGGTTTATTCTTTTTAATTGAAAAATATATCAAATTAATCATCTTTTCTTCTCACTATCTAAGATGCACATCGTAAATCTAAAAGGTGTAAAAATCATATAGTAGATACAAATTTGGAAAATAGTAACATCAATTTAAAAAAAGCACAAAATTATAGAAAAAAATTATATTCCTCATGCAAAATTCATATTTAGCGACCTAGCGAATATCTAGACCTAAGATGTAGAAAATGGAAGTGAGATAGTAAAAAAAAAAGTGAAAAAAAAATCACTAGTTTTCTGTTATCGTATGCTTCATAAGAAATGACCCCAAAACGAAAATCGAAGAGTTCTCCTATAGTTTCACCAATTTTCCTTTATTTAATTAGCCATTAGTTACTGATTATCTCATTGAGTGGTTGAGATTGCCCCTATTTCTCAGACTTGCACTTTTTTTCCAAGGAAATTAGAGAGTATGAATATGTAAACATATGCAGTTCAAACATGAACCAAGACTTAGATTAAGAACCATAAGAAACGCCATTATTCTGTGTAAGGCTATTTTTACTAGTGTTAGTTACTACTTTTAATTATGATTTATTTTTATAAATAGTCATACTATATATATATATATATACACAAAATATAACAACATTTGTAAATGATAGCACCATATGATATTAAAAATAGCATCATCCACAACAATGAATAGTAGCATCATATATGATACTCACACAAGAACTGACTTTTATTAGATCTCTACCGATGTATATATCCATATGTATATTACCTTCAAGTTGTGGAAACCATCGCCAGCTCTAACTGATATCTTACTAGGTGTGTAACTCTCATCAAGCTTGAAATCAACATAAAGAACAACTAACTTCAGTTTTACTTTCTTCTGAAACTGGATATTGACTAGATGAGGCTGCACACCATCTGATCTGAAATCCACCAAAAAAATTGCAAAACAGGCTTATATAAACAACGCAAGCATTTTTTTTTATTTTTCACACAGGTTAAGAAATACACAGTCTCAAAGTAACACTAAAGGATCTAAGATATCCGAGCAAATATAAGAGCATGGGTTCATCAAAGATAGCAACTTTAAGCACAACTTCACAACTCTTAATATTCATCAAAAGCAGAAACAAGAGAGTAAAGATGGCGGATACTGACTGCCAGTAGGTATCTAGGTTGTCATCTCGGAGAGAAACGACACCATTTCCAGGCTTGCAAGAGCTGACGCTCCAGGCAGCCATTTTCGCCATTTCACGGAGGTCATCTTCCACCACAAGCAGCTGGTTTCCGCAGGTCAGCTTCCCTTCATCCTCCCCCTCCGACGAATCCGCCATTCACACCTCAATTGTCAATTTAGAGATATGGATATAAACCCTAATCTGACGGTTGGTTCTGTATGATAATTCAAAAATAAAAATAAGGTGATTAAGCTGTAAAAATAAAGAGCAAAAGAAAGAAAATCACATCAGGTATTACTTATCGGGTCGTTTCGTTAGAAGGAATTAGACATGTAAAAACGGGCTGGCGGGACGGTCGGCCTGCAGCAGCCGGCCAGAATCCGCCATTTGGCGGGGCAGGGCGAGCCGCCATCTCGGTGGGCCTGTGAAATGTCAACCCAGCCCAACCCCGCCACCGGCCACGGGCTAGGAGGGCCAGCCAGCCTCATAATAGATTAAAAAAAATACTATATAGTGAACACTGAACAGAGTTAAACCTGGGGCTGTAACAAAATACAAATGCAAAAAAAAAGCTGAGAGAATATGATTAAAACATAAGTCATTCAATATGAATTAGAGAATTTTAAGTTCATCCATTTCATTTTCAGAATTCAAAAAGCCGAAATCAACAAATCAGTTCAAATTAAATCATACTTCATTTTGAGAATACCGGAAGAAAGCCTTGCCGACGTTTCCGTTGCCGTTGCTGCTTGGAGTCGCTGCCGCTGGCCCGCTCGCCGGTCGCCGCTCGAATCCGCCGCTTCCTTGGCGCTCGCTGTCGCCGCTCCAAGGTTGCCGACGCACACCGATCACCGGTCGGGCTGCAGATGTCCAGATGATTGCCGCCTGCCGCTTGAGAAAATGAGAGTTGAGGATGAGGTTAGGGTTAGGAAAGGGAAAAACGAAAAAGGCTCTTCTCTCTGACTCTGCTGGGAAGTGGGAACTTATGATTTTTAAAAAAACTTTTAAAAGGAAAAGAAAATAATTAAAGAACAGACAGAAGCGTGCGTGAAGTAGTGAAGAGTTATTGACACTTATTTGTGTTATGTCATGTGTAATGACTACTGTAAAAAATACTATTGTGTAGAGTAAATGCTCTTCTATTTACAGTGGGCATATGTTAATATGTCCACCACTTATGTGACATGCACACGTGTTGTTAATATGTTCAAAAAAATATATCACCAATGTGTGCATGCCACATAAGCGATAGACAAATTAACATGTGTCCACCGTGGGTATTGTGTATTTGTGTAAAATACTTTTATATCAACTTTTTTTTTATTCAATGGTGGGCTGGTCAGTGGCCCGCACGGGCCACCATTTAGGCCTGCTTTTTGGTGGGCCTTTAAAACACCAACCCTATTCGTTTATTAGGCGGAGCGGGTCAGAGTGGGTAAGGCCAGTCCACGGGCTAGCCCATTTAACAAGCATAGAAGGAATGGAAGAAGGAATAGAAGGGGTGAAGTAATTTTTTATTTTTTATTTTAGAACATGAATACATAGGGATGGTAAATTGGTAATGACCAGGTCGAGCCAGGTACTTATAGACTAGGACTTAGCTTGCACGCCTGCGGGTGGCCTGTTTCGAGGCGGACCGCCTCTAATAACTGTTTTGGGGTGGGCCGATTGGGTTGAGAAAAAATATTTAACTACATAATTTATCTCAAGGTGTGAGTCGAAAGTAAGAACAAATGCATTCGAATAAATTGACTCAACGGACAGAGGGTGAGAGAGCAATAGCGAATTCGAAGAAATCCCCTCAAGCCCATAACATGTTTCCACAAAATTTATGCTAATTATACAAATACTTTAGCAATCACCTTTGTGCCAAACAAATTTCAAAATGAAGAAACAATAGAAGCACCAACACAAAAAGAAATAACAATTTCAAAGCTCTTTAATGTAAAATTATTGGATTGATCCGACCCGGCCGAAGCATTGGAGAAAGGTCAAACTTGCCCCGTTGCCCGATTTCCAAAAGTCTTATGTTTTGTTGTAATAAAATATATTAATCTTATTTTTTTCTATTATTAATAATTATCCTTAAAGTGATTAACTATAACCACATCTTTTAATTTATGTTTTCAAATCAAATAAATTATAGCTTAGATAAAATAATTGATTTTAAATTTTTGGAAAGTTATCTAATTTTTTTTATCACATGGCTAAAAAAATAGATTAAGTAGAAATGAAATAACTTATTGAATAATTTTAATCAATAAATTTGGATCAAATTATTGATATCATATTATCTGAAATAAAAACAAAAGTCTCACCACAAATGCTAATATATATATAGAGAGAGATTACCATCGAGTCCACATATTTAAGGTGACTATGTAAGACTCATTCCTAACAATTAAATAGGGATAAAATATGTAGCCAAGATTTAATATTTTGTTTTATTATTTTAATTATTTAAATATTAATTTGACCATTGACCGTTGACTCCGATGTTGACCATTGACTTCCATTGTACAACGTTTACTTTTGTCGTTGACTTTCGGTGTTGACCGATGAGCGTAATATGCATTATGTATGTAGTAGATGTGCACTCACAATATGCAGTTGATACTAATTATATATGCATTTTGTATGAATTAAATATACAATTTTTATGAACTGAATGACACCAATAATATCAACTAAGTATGTGTTATTTATGAACTAAATATGCACTATTTATGAACAAAATGTGCAGTGAAAATATGTAACTGAATGTGCATTCTATATTTCTATATAAATAATTTAAATATAATATTTACTATTTATTATATAATTATTGTGAATTTTAATCGATTAATATAAGTCATTGATCTACACAAACAAATAACTATGGTTGGACATCATAAGAACTAAATATGCACTACATATGAACTAAATGTGCAGTCAAAATATGTACGTAAAATGTGCATTATATAATTAATTTAAATACAATAATCATTATTTTTTATTATATAATGAAATTGAATTTGAATTGATTAATATTGGTCATTAATATACACAAATAAATGGCTATTATTGGACCTCACGTGAACTAAATATACATTATTTATTACAACAATTATATAATAAAAAAAAATAAAATAGTATATCAAATTTGTTACATATTACAAAATATATATTGGCCAGTTTGAACTAAATATGTATGCTAAATATGATTTTTTTTTTATGAACCAGTGGTTCAGAACCACACATGCATTGTGTATGAAATAATTCTTCATTCGAAATATGTAATCTATATGAACTAAATATACGTTTGGTATGAATTACATATTTATTTTTTATGAACTAAATGTGTAACAATAATATTAACTAAATATACTTTTTTCATGAACTAAACATGCACTTCGTATGAATAAAATGCTAAATATGCATTTTCTTATTAACCAAATATACATGGTGAATGAAGTGAATGTTATAAAAAGTGTAGGGGGCGGTGCCACATGCAGCCGCCCCCAATTACAATTATTATATTTTTTTTTTATTGTTGCTATTGTTAGAAAAGTATAGGGGCGGTGCCGTCCCACTGGCAGCCGCCCCACTTGCTTATTTAAAAAATAAAAAAATAAAAAAATAAAAAAAGAATTTATTATATTTTTTTTATTTTGTAATTTGTTGGCAATTGGCCAACTTGATACCATCTCCTCCCCTATAAATAGGCCATTCGGCCAAATGACCAAGTACACAAAGAAGAAGAGAAAAGAGAGGAAAGAAAGGAAAATAGAAAGGAAAGAAAAGATAGATATATGTCCAAATATCGGACATAAAAATATCAAAAGAGAAGAAACATATGATATTTTTATTTGTTTTATGATATATCTTTTTATTTTTAGTGCTCAATTCTCAACTCCGTTAAAGTTCGCCGGAGTTCGTAAATTTGGTGTGCTACAGATTTAGAGACGTTTGCCGTTGTATCTTTGGGGAAGTTACGCCTGAACCGTTAGCTGCCACACGGGGCGTATTCTTCTTGCGGAAAGAGTTTTACTCGCCTCGGCTATAAAATCTTTCCGTTTTCAGTCGTATTTTATTTTTCAGTTCAATTGTAATTTTCTATTTTAGATTATTTGTAAGAACTGAAAATACATATCAGTTCGTAGGATTCCCGTGTAATTTTGACACAAAAATATCCAACAATTATTGTTATAAAAAGTGTAGGGGGCGGTGCCACATGCAGCCGCCCCCAATTACAATTATTATATTTTTTTTTTATTGTTGCTATTGTTAGAAAAGTATAGAAGCGGTGCCGTCCCACTGGCAGCCGCCCCACTTGCTTATTTAAAAAAAAAAATAAATAAATAAAAAAAGAATTTATTATATTTTTTATTTTGTAATTTGTTGGCAATTGGCCAACTTGATACCATCTCCTCCCCTATAAATAGGCCATTCGGCCAAATGACCAAGTACACAAAAAAGAAGAGAAAAGAGAGGAAAGAAAGGAAAAGAGAAAGGAAAGAAAAGATAGATATATGTCCAAATATCGGACATAAAAATATCAAAAGAGAAGAAACAAATGATATTTTTATTTGTTTTATGATATATCTTTTTATTTTTAGTGCTCAATTCTCAACTCCGTTAAAGTTCGCCGGAGCTCGTAAATCTGGTGTGCTACAGATTTAGAGACGTTTGCCGTTGTATCTTTGGGGAAGTTACGCCTGAACCGTTAGCTGCCACACGGGGCGTATTCTTCTTGCGGAAAGAGTTTTACTCGCCTCGGCTATAAAATCTTTCCGTTTTCAGTCGTATTTTATTTGTCAGTTCAATTGTAATTTTCTATTTTAGATTATTTGTAAGAACTGAAAATACATATCAGTTCGTAGGATTCCCGTGTAATTTTGACACCAAAATATCCAACAATGGCAAGAAGAATAATTCGTCATCCTACTGAACTGATGGAATCCACCGGAGCAGGTTCCAGCTCTCAGCATCCGATCAATCATGTACCTGTTGTCCATGTTCATACAGCTGAAAAGCCCGAAAAATTCAACGGGGTTGATTTTAAGAAGGCTGGGCCAAAGAAAGATAAATCGAGTGCCCTTGCGGCTGAACACGGCTATGTGCCGGGTAAAATGACCGATTTTTATATGTCGGTTGTGGTGTTTGAAGCCAATTTG